AGAGACAAGTATGTTGTAATTATTTCTATTTATACGTTTACCATCAGAGACAAGCATGTTGTAATTATTTCTATTTATACGTTTACCATCAGAGACAAGTATGTTGTAATTATTTCTATCTGTACGTTTACTATCAGAGACAAGTATGTTGTAATTATTTCTATCTATACGTTAACTATCAGAGACAAGTATGTTGTAATTATTTCTATCTATACATTTACCATCAGAGACAAGCATGTTGTAATTATTTCTATCTATTTAACTGTTTTTTTCTTTCTTTATAACTGTACGTGTTTCGGTTATGTGTGTGTGTGTGTCTATCTGTCTGTGAAACTGAAGTGTTTAAATGGTGAAAAATTTCAAGTGTTTTAATCAATTATGAGTGAAATTAAACCTTACCTTCTCAGTATTAGTTGTGTTGTGGGTATATTATCGAACCAATCTAGATAATGTATTAAAGATCTGTAACAACAAACCTTACCTTCTCAGTATTAGTTGTGTTGTGGGTATATTATCGAACCAATCTAGATAATGTATTAAAGATCTGTAACAACAAACCTTACCTTCTCAGTATTAGTTGTGGGTGTTTTGTTCCCACATATTTGTTTATCAGTTTTAGGAGTAGCTCTTGAAGGATTCTGAAAAACAAATTAAAAAAATTAATAATTAATTAACAAATTATAAAACTGTTGAAAAAATAAAGTGATCTCATAAATATATCATTAATGACCTGCAATGATTAAGCTACAAGATGCAGAATAATAATTTTTATTATACCCAATTACTCATTATCCTTCAACAAAATCTATCTTTTCACAAACACAAAAATAGTATTTTATTATAACCATTATCCTTCAACAAAATCTAATACCTTTTCACAAACACAAAAATAGTATTTTATTATAACCATTATCCTTCAACAAAATCTAATACCTTTTCACAAACACAAAAATTGTATTTTATTATAACCATTATCCTTCAACAAAATCTAATACCTTTTCACAAACACAAGAATAGTATTTTATTATAACCATTATCCTTCAACAAAATCTAATACCTTTTCATAAACACAAAAATACTATTTTATTATACGAGTTATCCTTCAACAAAATCTAATACCTTTTCACGAACACCAAAAAAAAAAAGACTCTATATTAACAACAAGCTAACTGGTACTACTGAGTTATTACTGAAAATGGCCTTCAAAATTCTACATGAACTTTGTAAATCAAAATGGTTATAAACATCATTAAACGTTTTACCACATAGTGAAATAAATATGTTGATTTTCTACAATTTGGAGTTAATATATTACTGTCACGTACTGTAATAAATCTTTTCATAGTGAACATGAGAAAACAAACAATATTTTATCATCTTTGATATAACTGTGTTGGTTAGTGTCTGGATGTTATTTTGGAATTATGAGATCCTAATTTGATAATCAAACATTTATTTTTCGAAATAAATATTGGAACTTACTCTGTTGCGTATTCCAGTTTTTCTATTAAAATAATCATGATTAGAGAAGCGACATTCACCCTGATTGAAAGAAAGATACATGTATAATTAATTCATCATCATTTTAAAGATTTATATACATATTTATTTTTATAAATTTAAAATTCTGATATTGGATGTGAATAAACCTGATTAGCTATTTGTGTTGTTACAGATCTTTAATTACTCATGTAAACTTTAAAAAAAATAGCTTAAAATGAGTAGAGAACCTATAATTAACCCCACCTAATCTACCTATCTTGTCTACAATATTTCTTAAAATTCATTAATATCAATTGAAACTATATAACTCTTTATCACACTAATTAAGGTTCAAAACTATTGTTAAGTAAGAAAAACTCATAACCAGAAGTGTGTCTGTGTGTGTATATAAAATTTCTGTAGAAAAGGACGATTAAAATATATACCTGAATTCTTTAAGTACTGACAACATTACTAGCGTAGTTTTATACATTTTTTTTTAAAAGCCATAAAAACAATACTTCTGACAATCAAGGAAAAGGTTCAGCCACTAAATTCAAACTTAAGTCTTAATAAATATCTTGATTGAGAAATTATGAAGGTCTAAAAAAATGTGGGAGGTATTCTTGAACCAATCTAGATAATGTGAAAAGAATTATGCACTCTGTAGGCTAAAACAGAGTATGATGTATGAACTTCAAACGGAAGAAATAAAAATATTCATTACTATTTATTTTGTTTAATTTTCTCTTGAAAGAGAACACTTTCAGGGAACCTGTAGACACCTAGTTTTGTTCTATATTTTAAGATTGCATTAATTTTATACATATTTGCATTAGAAACTACTAGAAGTTGATCTGCGGTGATTCATGGTATGTGCATGTTTTACTGACGTCACAACATTACAAATTTCAATGCTAAGCATCCCTTATGTGACGCCATTTTAGTGTCTACTGACTGACTGACAAACAGCACACTACTGCATGTTTTACTGACGTCACAACATTACGAATTGGAACGTTAAGCGTCCCTTATGTGACGTCATTTTAGTGTCTACAGACTGACTGACAAACAGCACACTACTGTATAGTGGTGCAAGAGGTTAAAACAGGTGGCCCCTCCAGGTGACCTTTGGCCCCCATCAGAGAAAATTTATT